AGAAATTGTGAAAGCTCACACTTGTCTCACTTCAAGTCAAGTCAAGTGAAGTCAAGTCAAGTCTGCTTTATTGTCAATTCTTCCACATGTACAGCACATACACACAGAGAATTGAAATTGCGTTACTCTCAGACCCTTGGGTGCATACAGATAACATAAATACAGATTAAATACAAAATACAACTATACACTTGTTGATTTGGTAGATTTTTTCGGTTTACCATTCTAATGTTAATGTAGTATAACTGTGACATATACATGTAATGTAATTTGAATGTACATTAAATGAAATTAAGTACTTTCATTGCTTTCTCTGTCTTCAACCCCAACATTTTAGCTTTTCTTGTGCTGCAGGTCAGAACACAGCTCATTCCCTTTGAAATAGTGGAAGAAAATCGAATTAAAACATCTTTAAGCACTAATAATTTACCATCATTGAGAAAATTGAATAAAACCAGCGAATACAAATCAAAAAGTGACACTTTGGTAGTCTGCTTTTTATTTTGATTGCACTCTATACAGATAAACTCCACAACAAATAATAACAAATGCAACTGATAATCCTTTATGGATCCAGTAAAACTTACAGTTACAGTGGTAAAATATTATGCACTGATACAGTGCACAGTAAAAATATAGTAAAAGTGAAATGTAATATTAAAAAGTATATGTAGTACAGGTTGTAGTAAAGTGAATAATATAAAAAGCGAGTACAACAGTATATAATAGATTTATAATAGCACAAATTGTATGTATAATATCATAATAAATAAATAACAATAGATGAATAATAGCAAGTAGAATATGTAATATCAAGGGTGGAATAATACAGAATAGACAATAATGAAGAATAAATTAATAGTAAATTATAAAGTAAAATAAATAATCATGATATGTAGTTTTATAATAGTATTTGTGTAATAATTATTAAACAAAGTAAGACACAACTAATGACATGACAAAAAAAATGACGTGTTTCTCCACCGCTTCCCTCAAGATTTTCCTATATTTTATTCAATTAATGAGTAAAATAATGTAAACAACTTGACAATGCTTGACATTTTGCTCTACAATGCAAAAAACAAATTCTGAAAAAGTCGGGGGAGAGAGAGAGTGCAGTGTTTCCCCTGCCAACGGCACCCCCCGCCCCCCTTGAAGGTCAAGTTAATTTTATATAATTATATTTTCTCTATAGCGCCAGATCACAACAGAAGTAATTTAAAGTTACCTTTCTTATAGAACATGTCTATACCTTGTTCTTTCATTAAGCAAACTAAATAGCCTTATGTTATTTATCTTATTTACAAAGATAGATTAAATGAATGTTTTATGCCTTAAAACAAAATGTAAATACACAACACAGAATTTCTGAGCAAAAAAATCATAAGGCTATTGTAAGAATAAATGAAACTTGTTTTATGCTTTCAAATTAGACATGCTAAAACAGAATTTCGTTACAATAAAACATAAGGTTGGACAAATAAAACATTTCATAGGGCCCTAAACATCATATTTGTTCAATATAACTTTTAATAAATTGATGTTAAATTGTTTAAGTTTCATGATTTTAATTAATTAGACATGCTTTTTGATTAATAAAATGTTATTTAACCATTAAAAAGGAGTCCAGAAAAAAAAACTGAATCTACCCCTTCATTCAGGGCTATTCTGGGTTTTAACTAGTACAAAAAACATTACCCTAGTGAAAAAAGTATACTTTATTGCATTTGTAATATATTACCTGTTTTAATATTACGTTGCAAATATACTAACAAAAAATTTACTATCTTTAAATATATAAAAAGTATATTAGCAGCATGCTTTTGTCTATTTTCACAATACAACTTTTAACACACTTTATCATTATAAATTGTATGGAGAAATAAAGCTGAAAAACAACAATTGGCATTGATATCTGTATAAAGCTGCAGAAGTAGTTCCCCAGGAATCAGTTTTTAGTCTCTTTCAATATTGTTTGGAAGTGGAATGACATACAGTTTGTCTTTAGACCTAATAATTACACATTTACACTTGAGTGATTGAGGATGGACAGCAAATACATTAGGAGACACTATATAAATGTTGACAATATATTTAGCTGAACATCTCTAAAAAAATGTTCCTCAATGCAAGCTCTTTAGCTAAAACAATCTATTTGTGGTGGATGCAGAAGATGCCCCATCTTCACACTTGAAAGCCACCAGGGTCATAATTTCACAGAATGTTCCATCACTTAACTGTACAACAGAATTGTTTCTCTTTTAAAGAGTCGTGTTATTACAGGAATGATAAAGAACACTGCTCACTGAGAATTTTTTTTAATGCTGTTCACTTTATTTAAATAATTCCTTTTGATTTAACACCATTAAATCAGGTTTCCCGTTCAAACACGACTGCATTTTGTTGAACAGACTTTAAACAACTTTTTTCTTTTAAATAATGTTTTTGGAGAAAATATGTTTGTATAGAGTATAGGGCTATAGGTTATTATAAATAATTAAAAGCTAATCAAATAAATACATAAACAATAGTAAATATTTTTACTATTTTTATATTTATATATATTTACTAATGTTTACTATATTTCACTAGGAGAAAATATTAATTTAATTTACTAAATTTTTTAAGGAAAGTGGTTGCAATCAATTTATTTTAGCTACATTTAGTTGACTCATTTTCAACATTTTTTATTTAATGTAGCTAAAATAAATAGTTTGCAACATACCTTAAAACATTTTTTAAATCATTTTTTTCAGTGTACATACGTCTTTCATATAAAGACTTTATGTAATAACTTTTACTTATGGCAAAATATATATTTTTAGTGTGTTTCCTAAAAAGATTCAAAAACCGCGCCCGTTATCTAGTCAGTCCCGTGACGTCAGCCCGTCCAATCACAGCTGAGCTCACTCAAAGAAGAGTCACGAAAAACAACAGGTAAGCATTTCAAGCTTCTTTATTCCTTAAAAAAAACTTTTGAACGTTTATGACTTATTGTCGTATCTCATTATTTGAAGATTAACCAGCTCGGCAACGCTAATGTATTAGCTATCAAAGAGGAATTAACACGAGTGTTTCCTAAAAAGATTCAAAAACCGCGCCCGTTATCTAGTCAGTCCCGTGACGTCAGCCCGTCCAATCACAGCTGAGCTCACTCAAAGAAGAGTCACGAAAAACAACAGGTAAGCATTTCAAGCTTCTTTATTCCTTAAAAAAAACTTTTGAACGTTTATGACTTATTGTCGTATCTCATTATTTGAAGATTAACCAGCTCGGCAACGCTAATGTATTAGCTATCAAAGAGGAATTAACACGACATTACATCAAAGTTATCAACGGCAAGTGTTAAATATGCAGTGTTTTACACCACAGTTTGTCAGTGGGAAAATAAAAAACATATATCTAATTTCGTGTCTGTGCTTTTCTCAGTCGGAGACAGACAACCAAGTATTTTTGTCTTTTAAACCAGAAAGACGGCTGACTATGGAAGCCCGTTTCCGCCACTAAATAAAAAAATATAATTCTGTAAGTCATAATAATGAGAAACTTTCTCAAAATTATGACTTAGTATCTCGTAATAATGAGAAACTTTCTCGTAATAATGACTTAGTTTCTCATTATTATGACTTAGTTTCTCATTATTATGACTTAGTTTCTCATTATTATGACTTAGTTTCTCATTATTATGACTTAGTTTCTCATAATAATGACTTAGTTTCTCAT